AGTAAAGCTTATATAAGCTATAAGTTGGATAATGTAGTAGTCTTAATTAGATTTTAATATATACGTACAAGACATTAATAAGGATTATCTTTCTAGACTCAGCATTCGTTAAACAAATTGTTAGAGTGGGAGAATAGTAGGCTGTACCACAAACTCGGTTTACATTGGAGACTGGCAAAACAAAGATGCGATAGCTCCTCCATGATGGAATATGTAAGGCATTATGAAATTATTAAAGTTTTAAGAAAATATTAATAGGTCTTATTTTATAATGATATTGATTTCGATTTTCTTGCCATTACAGGTTCTTTTGATTGAATTTATTCCAAAGATTCCAATCTATAGGCCCGACTAAGCTAATGGGCAATCGTGCAATTAATAATACGTACAATGCAAATAATCAGCAATGTGCAACTGACGTGCAGAGAAATACAGAGAAGATAAAGTGCCGCTACAATGATATAGGTACTTTTCTAGTACTTATGTAATGCATATTTTTGTAAATATTCTGGGTAGGAATGCACAGTACAATAATTCGACGTAACAGAGAATAGATCACGTTTTGATCATAGAAAGAAAAAGGCAACTGTTAATTCTTTACAATTAATTTGAACTAAAAAAATATTGCAAACAAAATAATTATTTTCTCAGAGATATTCGTTATATACGTTTGGAATAGATTATAGATCATTTTTAAATTTTTTGCGCTGAAAACTACTCGACAGCTTTATTTATTAGTTTATTCAGTAATTGTAAGAATAATCTCATCGTTTTTTTTATCCGAGTTCCTTGTAACATTTGGTAATCTGTACTCGTCAACTAGAATTTAAGCCTTCAGGTAAGAAATTAATCTGATTCAGTACAACGAATTTATTGAAGTACGGATAATAACGTCAAAATGAGTCACGCTAATCAATCTGTCTAATCGTGCATAATGCTACATGCACACGCACTCGTGTTGTACATACATACGTGTACATACATAGAAAACTTATTTTAACTATAGGTTAATTTCTTACCACCGTGATATTAGAAAGTATGAAATGTAAAGCGCAACTTTACTTTCTGATACAAATTTCACAAAATATTTTAACACGAATAAATTATCCAAAATGAAGAAGCATACGGGCTTAGGCGCGATTAAGAGATATCGATATAGATTTTAGAAGAAATATAAATAGTAATCGCTGATAAATGTAAAATATATATCGATGAGATGAAATATTAATTGCAAAACGTATCTATAATAGGGCAAACAGTACGGAACTGTAGAATAGCATCAGCGCAATTATTGGGCATAGAAGAGCATAAGAAAATATTATAGAAAACTGCCATGAACGAGCTCATTAATTCTTGCTTTTTAATGAAAAAAATCAACGTTATCACTTTTTACGCATATGCCGTCGCATAATTTTATGTGTCCAATCGTATGACCTTTGGAAGGAATAATTAACACTTAGCGCATGGACATTTCTGTCACATATCCGTTTTCCTTTTAAGCTAATGTTAAACTAGTCTTAAGAAGAATGATGAAATTGTTTATTAATAAATTTTAATTTTACGATATAATAATATATTTTAATTTACTTAAGTGGCACACTACTATCACAGTACTGTTTACTCTATTCTTGTTAATATATATATATATATATATAATATACTGTTTCTCAGATAAAACAGGGATAGGATTACCAAAATATCAGAACAACGTCTCCCATGTAAAGGAACTTTGTTGCGTAGGCACTATTTTACATTGCAGTTTAATATGGTTCCACACAGATATTTCTCTACTAACAACTTGTCTAATATGTGATAATGCAGCTGTTATCAGCTCCGCATTGCTTTCGCAATAAAAAAAAAATCAAGCAAATTTACTCATCACCCAAAAACATAAAATGATTGTAGAAAAATATGCAAAAACATGTGAAAATACTGCAAGTGTTTCTGTTGCTGTTCAGTGGCTGTGATCGAGAACAAAAGACTAGTTTTGAATTTGAATATGTATCGCAAACAACTACACATAACGCCCGTGCTTTATCTTATGCGGTTCTACACGTTAAAGCCTTTTATAGAATATCAGATTTACTCTGTTTCTCTAATATTTGTACTTATTCTGTAGAATAATTAAGTCGAAGTAACAAGCGTTTTGCATTAAAGGTGTCTGTGTCATATAGATTAATAAGAATGCTCTATTGCCATATCTGATTTCAATCATACATACCGTAGGTATAATCCATCTATCATTAATATTTTTTAAAAATAAAGCAAACAGAGCTATTTATATAGATTCTCATTTTACTTGAGGAAAAGATTATGGAACGGTTATACTCTTAATGATCTGTTGAATAGTTGATATGTCAAACAATAAGCGATCATAAAAATCATGTTATCATATTTTCGGACACGTGTGTACGAACGAATTGTTATACGATTATTATTTTTTCAATAACTATACAGTAGGCAGAAGTGTCGATATTTCTGTACTGAATATCCTTCTAATCGATCCATTGAACAAATATTGAATTATATATAGAAATCGATATACTGTGTAATGGAACCATTGCATATGTGCTTTCTAAACTGAATATCGCAATCCTCTTGATAGCGTATAATTAATAAAATAAGGGCTGTGTTAAATTGGTCAAAGTGAGACGCATAATATGGTTCTAAACTATGCTTAAAAACAATTTTCGTATATTTCTAAAAATGAAGATTACTTAATGTATCGACGAATAGAGGCATGTTTTATTCCGTTTGCTTGCATTTTCTTATATACTAAATACGGTCTAATTATACTTTCTTGAAATTGCACCAAGTATCAGAAAAACGTATGTAACGTTAACGCTCAGTTTGAAAGTAGTATAATTACGTATACACACTTAGTTTATTAATTTATTAATACTTTAGTATACAATTATTAAGGCCACGTATACTAAAAAATTAATTAAATCTCTATATGGCTTATATACGTATACATATATTATCTACGCAAATATTTACATGATCTTTTCTTCGCATGAACTATGTGCACTCGGTAAAAGAAAAACTAAGGAATTGTTTTCCATCGATGTTTTATTACTCTGCACACATGTGAATATTTTTAGATATATCACGATACAAAAAAATAATAATAACATGAATCATGATAATTACAATATACAAGGAAATAATTATAAAAACTAAATACTTATTTCAGATACATATAAATGTTCTGTATAGATAATAAGCTATCTAGATTACAACACATGACGATACATAATTTATATATAGTTTGCATAGTACACGTAGATATATATAAATGATTAATGTTTTTATGCAGCTTTCCTTGGACACTTGGTTTAATGATAAAAGTCACCTCGGAAATCACGCATTTTAAGCAAGTACATTTCTACAGTCTAAGATTATTTTTCAGTTCACGTGTTGTTTTGCAGAGAAGCTCAATTAATATCATACATGTTGAATGTATGAATAGAAATATCAAGCATCACTCGATAAAGATTCTTCGAGTTGCTCATATCATTCAATGCATCGCATACCTTCATGGAATGTCCATCTATAAATATATAAACACATATTTACACTCTGAATTATAAAAACAAGCATATTGCAAGGAGGCCAATTATCCGAAATTGGTTTACTTTTTAAATCTTTCATTTATTATTACTCGAAGGATCGAATATATCACTCTAAGGAGCGAAAATATTTTTTCAGTAACACGGTTTTGTGTGTGAATCTAGATATTGATATTAAAGCGTAAGAGTATAACAGTAATGTAAATAGGATGAATTTGCAAGGAAATGTATAGCGAATCGAGGTTTATAATATCGATGATTACATTGCGAAAGATCAGGGGAAAGGAATATATTTTTGATAGAAGAGAAATGTAAACGAAATGATTATCAGGAAATTTGAATATAAAATTTGGTGTTGAATTTATGTTCTAGATTGAATATCTTTTTTATGCAAATTGCGTATATCACAAAAATATCGAGAAGATACATAACAGATTAATCGATACGAGTAAATTACATAACATCGCATATCATATTACACGTTACATTAAATACATTAGTTACATTAGATGTAACTTGCCAAAGCATTTATTTACCTAACATTTTAAAGTTGAAGTCAATAGACAAATTGTAGTTGCAATACATCCTTGGCGCAAAAGCGGCTAATAGTGAAATTATTATCAGGCTATCGTGGTTTCAACATGTGCCTTTTACTCGTGAATTTGTGTGAATCATGTAAATGTAAATATTATATGTTAATAATATATGTTAAGAAATATATTTGTATAGAATGTGAGAGTGGTTCCTATATATATAAATATATATATTGCGCATAAATAAAATAACTACTCGCAAACTCGCGATATCGTTGCACAAGATTACATGACGGATCGAAATAGCATATCATAATTTCGCAATGGATAGAAAAGCTTTCAGGGCATCATAATATTGAGGTGCAGAAATGTGAGATATGACGTAATGAAATATACGTAAATATCGTTTCGTAAAAAGCTTTTGATTAACAGTTGATATAATCGCGATTTATTATATGATGACTAATAGTTTTCCGCTATGATTATCTTTTATACACATCGTTTGTTAGCCATGTAAATTTGTGTAACTGTGTTAACTGTTTTTCAGTTTGAAAATAAAACGTACGATTGTATAATAGTCGAATATATTTCAAGCTCATTGAATTCCTTTTAATCGATATTCTTTCGACTACAAATTAATTATAATTTTCAACAGTTGATGTAATCGCGAGTGTAAGCTTCTCTTACCTAGATTAAACTTCAACTGGCATTTTATACATGCATACATATATATGTATGTATATATTAATTTCGATGTTAATGTCCTTCCAGTGGAGCAACATCCCAGCAAACTGCTTACTTCGAAATTCGAATACGTCATGTTATGATAATCGACAACAGATGCTCTGCAGCTTCTAATTAAAGAAGCCCATTGTTAGTCGTATCTGTGCTACAGGACAGATAATTCTTCTTCGAATATAGTGTCAAAGAAGACACGAATTTAAATTCTCGGTTGTTGTGCGCTCGGTGCAAGATGATTTTGATACGTAATAAAAGTATCCGTGCATTGATATTCATCGCGAGTATCCTGTCAGTGAATTCTAACGAGCTCTTCTCAGCTTACAATGTTTCCGCCAGGTAAAAATATTCGATGATATTATCGTCTTCAAGTCTCTATTTTATGTTTTAAAGTAGTTGAGTTTCAAAACTTAGAAATAAAGTACTTATATATATATATATATATATATATACAGAAAGAAGGATTTTTCAGAAATATTAAAAAATTTAGCTGGATCTGAAAATAATTTTGTCGAACCTTCATAATTATGTAGGACTCAAAGTGATTGTTAGAATGTCCAAAATTTTTTGCGACATTATCATCATATGGTTGAATTTGTACATAATTATTTCGATAAATTCCAACAAAATTATTTTCAGATTTGTATATCTAACTCAATTTTTATTTGATATTTCAGCGGAACTGTCTTCTTTCCATATATATTTTCTTATTATATAATTTACTACGTGATAAGTTTTATTAATCTTTTTATGCGCACGTTGAATTATTGCAAATCCTATATCCCTTAAAATTTCAGAGCCGTTCCGAAGTGTTCCTTGCCAATAACAGTTTTGGATTTCATTCGCAATACTAGTCAGCCTGATTTAGAAACTAAATGGCCCTGCGAAGTACGCTCGTACTGGCTGTCTTTAAAGCCATTCGTCAAATCCGTCCGTTTCTTGCTCCGCTATGTAACGCCATTTATTATAATACTCGGTAAGAAACATCGCGATGCGCACCTTACAATTCTCGAACCTTACTGTTCTCATACAACGTTGTAACCCACTTCGTATAGGTGTATTGCTAAATGCTATATCTTTTAGTATGTTGAGCGCACCTGTGCTATGTGACTCCAATTTGTCACTTTATCTAAGCGCGCTCGCTATATCGGACAATGGAGCGTTAATATTCAATTACGCCGTCAGCGTCGCAAAATCACACTCCTCGTCCGTTAACGATCTTTTTATGGTAAATATCCTGTGTTTGATTAATTTTCTCTTGTTGCATAGTTACCCTCCTGCCGCAAGAAATTCGTCCAATCAGACGGAACAAAATCAATTTAGTTGGCTCTGGTTAATAAAGATAACTATAATTTCAATTTATTCTTCAAACTGTTCCTTTCAATTGGATCAAGGTCTTTCTCAATTGATGCCTGAATAAATCTCAACGTCGACTGAGGAAGAGACTTTAAGTAAAGGTCGAAATCTGAGGAAGTTTATTGTACGTACGGTGATATCAACCGAAAGGAATTGTTTGGAAAAGAAAAGACTATTATTTCATCGGCGCGTTGAACTCGATTGATCATTGACGTCTTGAAATTTAAATTGATTAACAGTTTATTTTTAACATGTTATTCTGTTTTCATTTTTTTCTTTTTTCTTAACAAATGCTTTTCAACACATTAGTGATATTAACATTTTATGAGAATACTCTCTTATTTTATATTACGCAATGTTTTTTATCGTTATATATTAATTTGTTTATTAATAATAAAAATTCTCTATACATGATGAAACAAAAAAAGAAAGACAAAATTCCTAGGCGTGTAAATTCATTTCAACATCTCGATACATTTTGTTGGAATGTTAAGAAGAAAGTAGATTGTGAAAAGAGAACACGATGAGCGCTCAGGATGATTTTCTTACAGAACAGCAAATTTTTATGCGGCGCGAATTCCGTGAGCATGGAACTTTTTCAATTTACGTCGACCTGGCTGATTGTCGCTCTCACATGGACGCGTGCCATCGCCGTGATGTTTCCATTCGGAGCTCGCGATCAGACTCGCTCCGCGATTACAATTATCACCAGCCTAGTCTGCATAAGCTTCATAATATCATTAACGAAGCTGTACTCTGGCGGTAAAGCGTACATCCCATATCACCTTTCCCCTTTGCGAGTCAATTGTGTCACTTACGATTATATGCGATTATTGTTCTCTTCTCGTCAATGAATGCTGACTTACGCTGATTGTAGGATACGAAACTGACAGCGTTTTCGAATTTGTACCGTGCCAGAAGATGAAGCCATGGGGCAGCGCCATGTACTTTTACATCGCCCTGTCCACGTGGCTGCCCTTGCTTTTTATATCGATCGGCAATCTGCTACTGATCGTTCGTATGAGGAGGTCTTACAAGATTCACAACGAATTAACTCGTAAGTCTTCGTCGCGATCATTGATCGTACGACGTCATCGTACGGGAAGATTTAACAGCGACCTTCGCCTCAGATAATTTTAGGTACAGAAGCAACAGAATAAACAATTCAAGTAGAACGTTGCTCGCGGTATCGATAGTACATTTGATCTTGTTGCTGCCATTGGGAATTGTTGAAACGTTGGAACTTTATTGGGATGTGATTTTAATCAAATATCCCAGTAATACAGGAGAGAACGACAGATATATACATTGGTAAAATATCTATTGAATAAAATATAGAAATTGACATTAAAAAATGTTTTCTATATCACGCTGTTTCCGAATTATTTCTTGCGATATTTTTTATATAATAAATAATGTTATTTATTTTTATATAATTACAATTATTATACTTTTTATTTTATTTTATATATATATATACATTTTAATACGGCGGTGTTTTTCAGGTTACAAGAGAAGATGTTACTAAAGTGGTGCCACGGCCTGTTTTTTCATATATACCACTGGAATTTCGCAATAAACTTTTTTCTGTATTACCTTACAGGAAATAAATTCAGAAGTGTTGTTGCGCAAACGTTGAAAAATTATACGGATACATATCTGCCGTGCCACAAAAAAGTCTCGAGGTGCAATACATGGAGTAACTGTCACAAACATTTACGATCTTGTGCATCACATTGCTAACGAGAACTGTTGTACGAAGCAAACAATTCAATAATATGACAAATAATTCAATAATATTTAATGATAGAAGTAATTCCAATGAAAGAAACAACAACGTTACCTAATTTTATAAAAAACAAAGTACATTAGGAAGAAAACTCTTTTCGATATAGGAATATTGCATTATATATAACTCATGTATAATATACGCGTCTTAAAAGATAAACCCGGTAGAAAAGATATGTACACATTCAACTCAAACGTGATAAATAATCGTTTCTTTCTCGATTACTTTATATACATACTCATCGTATCTTTTTAATTGATTGCGGAAGTCAGTTCTCGGGGAGTAGAAATTATATTCGGATAAGTTTATTTTTTTTTTGCAGTTTATTTTGTTTACACATGAAATGTTTACACATTAAACATTGCAAAATATCACATTGCGTATTAGACGTCTTCTGCATAACAGCGTAATTCTTATAATTAAATAGCGATTTAATTGCATGTAAAGATGATTTGTTATTACATTTTAACTATAACTTCCAATTTTTTCGCTATCATCACTCGCCTTTTCTAATCTTATAAACTAACGTTATGGTCCCCCATGCAGATCTTTTATGCAATTCGGGATATCGTGATAATACTGTACTAACAAAAATTTCGAGCAAACGGTACAAGAATAAGATGAATTACTAACAATACAATAAGCTGTAGTAAGATGTACTATTTAAACTTGTACCATTATTTTCAAATTGATGACGAAATAACTTAGAGCAATATACAAAGTTTACTGCTGATTTTGTTTTTCCTAAAATTTAGCTAGTGACTTGACATGCGTTCATAAAATATTCGAATTTAATGCATATGTTAATTAATTGTATCAAACATAATTACACAACTTGCGTATGAACATGATTAAGTATACACATATACAATAATAATTACTCATTTTAACGGCAGATTAAATGAATAGTTATCTAAACTACGCAATTGCATTTCTCCCTCCCTACCTCCCAATCAGTTATACATTCACATAATATACATTACTGTACCACGTTGGTAACTTTTACTGAAATAAATTCTAAGACGAAAAATATGTGTATAATACAATACAATTATATAGACATCTAACATATTTATTTATACGCTAATGTAATCATCTTTAAATTTATAATTTATAATTTATTCTTAAAAGAAAATCGAATCTCAATTTATATTTATAATTCATAAATAGGGAAAATAATTTCCTAACCCCTACAGCACAAGGTTGTACAAAAGTTGCAGCAATATTGCTACAAATTCTTGGCTGTATTGAACTTTATATATAAGATACATTAGATTCTCGAATACAATATATACAACGAAAAAAAAATTTGTTTTTATGCTAGATCTCTAAAAAAATTCCAAAATAGTATCTAAATCAGTGAAATTATCTAACGAAGACTGTTATTATATATATTATTTTTCATTTGATTGTTTAGAAATCTGTCTATAAAAAACGAGCTTTTTAAATAACGCTTGAGAAGGAAATATCTTAATCAAAATGTATTGTCCACATTCATCACTATTAACAATTTGTAAATCTTGGCAGATCTGTTATTTTATATCTTATATGTAATGACACAATTTATTTAAATTATGTTTAAATATGACTATCTTCTGTATATGCCAAAAAACTTCAACTGTGTATATGCCTGCCAAAATATGTCCTCATATAAAATTTCCAAAACAGATTTTGAAATATTTAAAGTAAATTTTCGAAAACGCAGATATACAAAAATTCTCAATTACACAATAAATAAAAAATGAAATGTAGAAATATTCTTTTTATACTATTAGAAAAATATAAGACATGTACAAAATATTTAGTGAAAATTAAACTCTCAAACATTAGATGCAAGCATAAAATCTCAAAATAAAATTAAAACAGAAACGGGATTCACAGTATATGGTTTCCATAGTATCCTTTACAAAATATTGCAAACAGTAGGGCTTAAAAAGTTTTAAAAAGAGTAAGCTAAATGAATTCTAGATATCACCAATACATCGCAGATGTTATTTTCTAATTCCTAAAGACAAATATCTCAATTACTTTTGAAAATTATGTCTATTGGAACACAGCGAAAAAAATTCGTATGTATGATTCAGTCTTTTTATCAGTAAAATTTTCTAAAATTTTCTTTCTCTTTAATGATTTGTATATACATGATCAAAATTACATCATAAAAAAATCCATTTGTACACTTTCTCTTTTTATCACTATTCTTATTAATTTGTAAAGATGTAATTAATAATTGTTAATAATGTTTGCAATACGAAGGCTTTCGAAATAGTAAATTGTTAATACACTGGATACAAAATATTTATTTTAAAAATGTTTAAATATTACGTGGAAGTCTATTTATATAATTTACTGGAAATTGTCCCCTCCTACCGTTGTACTCACCGTATAACCAATCCTCCGATATCCTTGATATGACTGTAATTTTCGCTCCCTCCTAAAGTAACAAAACAATGTTAGGAACATAATAGATCTTTCATTTAATTGCTTTGCCTTAATCTTTGATACCTCAAATGACAAGTCGTCGCTGTTCTCTCCCGGAAAAGTGTAAAGGGCTGTAACCACATTGTCTGATAAACCTGCCAGAGGTATTTTGATGTCGATGAAATTAAGCGGGAAGATGCCTTGACGATTTCCTATTCTTCCCTCCAACCAGTCGTCGTTAATTTTCTTCACCAATTGTACAATGTCGCCTTCTTTTAAAGCTAAGTCATCTGGATGAGTTGCGGAGAAATCGTACAGCGCAATACCGTAAGGTTCATTGGAATCTCTCTGTAAATTGCCAATCAATTAATATCAATTACAAATGCATTTTATCTTCCTTTAAATACAAGCCATATAGTTTCAAGTTTACAATACTCACTTTAAAATCACTGTTAAGTTCTGCCAAATAATTCGCAGGTAATGCCGGTGGTGGAATCGTCGGCATGGGAGGCGATGGACTATCACTTTCTTCACCATCGTTGGACCATGCATTAGAGAAATGCAACGTCAACGGTTTGTTCATTGTGCTGCTATTCGAGACTGCAAAGTCGATACACGTTTCCTTCGGTATCGGTTCGAGTTTCTTAAACGGTATCTTTGGTGCCGGAGGCTTAGGAGGTTTCGCTCGGATTATCGTGGGCATCGATGTAACGAAAGATTTAGAAGTGATTAGATTGGAAGGCACTTGGTTCGTTTCGCGGTTATTGGAATTAAAGGGAAAAAGACCGCCGGCGACTTGAGATACATTCGAGCAAGTGACCTCTAGAGGTCCGAACGGATCTTGCTTGTTGTTGTAGTCTGTTGTTTTAGTTTGCCACGGGTCATTTTGTGCAATTTTCTTGGCGGATATACCAAAAAAGTCAAAATCATCTTCAAAGGCACTTTCTGTTTGCGATGTGTTTCCGCTGCTTGTGAATACAGATGGATTAGAGTTTCCGTCACTGCCAAAACTGTCTACACTGACACCATCACTGGAGCGTGTTGTAAATGTCGGGGATCCAGGTGGACTGAGATCTATCAAAGATACCGTCGCGCTTGAATTCGAGGGTTGCGTTATCTGGTTTTGTAAGTGGCCACTTGGACGCAATGGAAAATGATTCTCTTGCTTCTTTCGTCCGAAGAAATTAGTCAACAGCTCCGTCGGCCTGGCCTAGCGTACAAAATAAAAATATAGCTGTTAATCGTTTATGAGGAATAACATATTTACGACTGATCATTTCTTGTGAGTGACGTGATCACCGGAGATATCACATTAGCAGGTCACGATACACAATTAAAATACACAGCACATGTACTTTAATTATACTTATTGCTAGCATTGAAAATCTATAATTTACGTTATGGACCATACTCGTTTTTTGTTGCAATTACTTGTAGGTCACAAAAAATCGCTATTGTCCTTTGTAGGA